GGCAACCAGAATTGTACGCAGTACTCCAAATGTGGCCTTACCAATGTCTTGTACAATTGTGACATGACATCCCAACTCCTGTACTCAGTGGTCTGGCCGATGAAGGCAAACATGCCAAATGCCTTCGCTCCCTTCCTCCGAAAACGCGCTTCCCGACGTCCCGGCGCTCTCACACTCGGTCACTCGGTGGCAGGCGGCCTCCGAGACTCGGGGGCAGAGTTTGAAGCCCGCACCGACCTTCCTTCCGCCCCAGGCAGAGATTTGCGCTTTCAAAAAACTGTGTATCTGCACCCCTAGGTCCCTCTGTTTGACAACACTGCTCGGGGTTCTCCCATTAACTGTGTAAATCCTGCCCTGGTTTGTCTTACCAAAATACAATATCCTTCATTTATCTAAATTAAACCCCATCTGCTATTCCTCAGCCCACTGGCCCAGTTGATCAAGATTCAGTAAGAATATGGCTGATTTTATTGCTCTACATTCCCTCCTATACCGGATAACGAATTCCACCAACCTCCCCCTTGCTAACCAAGAAGCTACCTACTTCGGCCTTCAAAATATTCAAAGATTGTTTCTACTGCCTTTTGAGGAAGAAAGTCTCACAGACTCATGACCCTCTGTGAGAAAAATAATACTGCTTCTCTCTGTCATAAATGGATAACCACTTATTTATAAACTGTGACCCTCTATTTCTGGACTATTCCAAAGCGGAAATATACTTTCCACATGCATCTGTTCATGGTGAAGATATTGTTCAGCAAGTCTTCATACTCTCCGTGGTGTTGAGGGCACTGTTGTCTTGTGTGAATAAGGTGAAAGTTAGTAAGGCTTCCATGTTGTACTGCACTGCTGCACTGCTCTTTGGTTCCACTGCTTATGTACTTATCTAAAACCTGCATTTTTGAGGGATCCAAAGCTGAGATGAAGAAGAAGATTCCTATGACATGCATACACGTGACAGATAAAGCTAAGGAAGCTGATGAGTGGCACCTTCAGTAGAGTGCTTGCCAATCTGTCATTCAAATGTGCCCTTTTTCGAACAAGATCATTTAGGCTTTTCCTGCATTGGCCCCATTCCTTTGGATACGCTATTGCTGCTCACCTGTTCTACCTCCTTCCAGGTCTCTCTGTCAGCTAAAGGAGCTTTTCTGTGGCCATGACCAGGAAGCAAGGTATCAGTGCACTCAGATTATAGAATCCCTATAATGTGGAAACAGGCCCTTCGGCCCAACAAGTCCACACTGACCCTCAGAGCATCCCACCCAGACCCATCACCCTATACCCCACCTAATCTACGCATCCCAGAACACTATGGGCAATTTAGCATGGCCAATTCACGTAGTCTGCACATCTTTGGACGTGGGAGAAAACTGGAGCGCCCGGAGGAAGCCCACGCAGATACGGGGAGAATGTGCAAACTCCACACAGACAGCCGCCCAAGGGTGGAACTGAACCCGGGTCCGTGGCGCTGTGAGGCACTTGTAGACAATGTAGAGGATTTTACACAACTTTGCAGAGAAGAAAACTCTGTGACAGTCATGGGCTCGTCTCGTTAGATTTCGGATGGGATTTTTAATGCTGAATACCCGGAAGTACTGCTTACAACAAATTAATTTGCAGATTTACAAACTTTCATAAAAATCCTGTAAAATGAATTGCAACTCCAACAGGTCTTTAAATATATTTCCAGCTCCTGCACTTCCATCACGTATAGGCTTTCTTAAGGTGAGAATTGCCTTATGAGTTTTTGAGAAGATTTGTAGCTCGGTTTGTGGATGCGGTTGTAGACATGCTCACTGAGCCAGTAAATTTGGTTGCAGACGTTTCGTCACCCTGCTGGGTAACATCGTCAGTGCTCCTCCGGTGAAGTGTTTGTATTCTGTCCTGCTTGTTATTTATATGCCTCTTTTTGCTGGGGTGGTTGGCATTACTTCTGGTTCTGTTTTTCAGTGACTTCTATATCGGGTCCAGTTCAATGTGTTTGTTGATGGGAGTTCCGGTTGGAATACTGGGCCTCCAGGAATTCTCTGGCATGTCTGTGTTTGGCTTGTGTGATTATGGATGCGTTGTCCCAGTCGAATTTGTGTTCTTGTTTGCCCATGTGTATGGAGACCAGTAAATTTGGTTCTGTCTCTTGTTGGCTAGTTGGTGTTTGTGTACTCTCATTGTCAGTTTTCTTCCAGTTTGGCCTATGTAACATTTTTCACAGTCCTTACATGGTATTTTGTACATTACATTAGTTTTATTAGTTGTGGGTATGGTATCCTTTATGTTTGTCAGTAGCTATCACAGGGAGGTTGTTGGTTTGTGGGCTACCCTGATACCTAGGGGTCTGAGTAGTCTTGTGGTCATCCCTGATGACTAGGGTGACTAGTGTGTCTGGCCATGTTGTGTCGTCTTGTTGTGGCCTGTCGCAGAGGTAAAGGTGGATTGTGCTTTTTAGATATCCATTCCTGTTAAAACTCCATATAAGTGCTGTTTGTTTGAATATAAGGCTGTTGAAGAACTGAATCAAAACAACCCTGAAGAAATTACATGGAGATATCAGCAAGACAGACTACCAAAAAATGAAGCCAGAGGGATCCAACACACCCTGCTTCTATGGACTCCCCAAGGTACACAAGCCAGGAGTCCTCCTCAGACCCATTGTCCCATTACCAGGCATATAGATTAGCCAAAAAACTACAATGGAAACTGAGGTACTTGATTGACAACAATACCTACTCCACCCAGTCCTCCCAAGAATTTCTCAACATCATCAAGGACACCAGAATAGAACAGGACAAGATAATGATATCCTTCGATGTGACAGCACTATTTACATCCATAAACATTGACCTAGCTAAAGAGACAATTGCCGCACTGCTGGATGAATCAGGAAGGCAGGCACCCCACGACTCCAACAGCATCAACAAGGACAGCACCCTGAAACTGCTGGATCTGTGCCTCAATACCCACTTCACCTTCAATGACCGTACATTCAAACAAATCGACATAACACCAATGAGTCCCCAATATCAGGACTGATTGCAGAAGCAGTAATGCAAAGGTTAGAACAAACAGCGCTCCCCACTATACAACCCAAACTCTGGGTCTGCTATGTAGATGACACCTTTGTGATTATCAACGCACAAGACTAGAAGAAACCCACCAACAATTAAACAACATCTTCACCAAAATAAAATTCACAAAAGAAGAAGAGAACAATAACCGACTACCCTTCCTAGGCATAATGATAGAACATAAGAACAACAGGGAACTCCACACTAGAGTATACAGAAAGACCACACATGCAGACCAGATACTTAATTACACCAGGAACCACCCCAATACCCATAAAAAGAGCTGCATCAGGACATTATTCAAATGGGCCACAACACACTGCAGCAATCCAGAATTGCGCAAAGCAGAACAGGAGCACTTTTACGGAATTTTTAAAGGAATTGATACCCAAAAAGCACAATCTGTCATTACTTCCTCGACAAACCACAACAAGAAGACATAACCTGGCCAGACACTAGTCACCCTACCGTACATCAGAGACATATCAGAGATGACCACAAGATTACTCAGACCCCTAGGTAACATTGTAGCCCACAAACAAACAACCACCCTGCGACAGCTACTGACGAATGTAAAGGATCCCATACCCACAACCTATAAAACTAACGTAATATACAAAATATCATGTAAGGACTGTGAAAAACATTACATAGGCCAAACTAGAAGAAAACCGAAAATAAGGATACACAGACACTAACTAGCCACCAAGAGACACGACCAATTCTCACTGGTCTCCATACACGCTGACAAACAAGGGCACAAATTTGACTGGGACAACACATCCATAATAGGATGAGCCAAACAGAGACATGCCAGAGAATTCGTGGAGGCCTGGCATTTCAACTGGAACTCCATCAACAAACACATTGAACTGGATCCAATATAGAAACCACTGAAAAACAGAACCAGAAGTAATGCCAACCACCCCAGCAAAAAGAGGCGTATAAATAACAAGCAGGACAGAACACTAACCGTTCACGGGAGGCGCACTGACGATGTTACCTAGCAGGTGATGAAACGTCTGCAATCAAACACACCGGCTCAGCGAGCAAGTCTACAACCTCATCCACAAACCGAGCTACAAATCTTCTCAAAAACTGTAGAATTGCCCTATTTTTGACCCACGAACCAGGCCAGATCACCGTGTCTGATTGCTGTCTGCCATGTGAGGCAGGTTCAGCCACTTGTTATGAACCTCCTTCAGATCCCTGATGACTTCCAATCCTACAAGCAGTGCCTGTGGCTGAAATGCTGAATTCAGCCACAGGTTCTGCTGGACCTGCAGTTGTTGGCATTGTTAATATGAGTGTGCAAAACTATGTAGTGACCTAATTGAGCTACTAAAGAATCTTTCTTTTGTTTTTGCTTGGAGCTCCTACTTTCCACTTCCCCTGCCAGTCCTTGTCCCTCATTGCTTCCATCTTGCAAACCTTCATGACAAGCAAGAGTGAGGTAGAGAGAGGGAGATCACAAGAATGGCTGCAAGTGGAGGGGTAGTAGAGAGAGGGCCTCAGACAGAAATGGCAAAGCCAGAGAGTCAGACAAGGAAACGGTAAGCTGGAGGGGTGATGCACCGAGAGTGTGGAGTGATGCCGCAAGCAGGAGGATCTGTGAAGGAGGTTGTGAGCAGGAGAGTTGGTGGTAATTTGCTTCAGGAAAGAGATTAACCATGCTCGGTAAGTATACAAAAACAAAAAATTATGGTAGCACTATTTGGGAAACATGTCTAACTTATTAACCACTCCAAATGAAAATGCATTTATTCGAATGCACCTTAAACAGGCTAGGAGAGTTGTGTATGTATCTGTACCACTCTGTTATCATTGCAATGTCAAAGTAGTAGAAATTTCTAATTGATTGCATTATTTATGTTTTATAATTGTATTCTTTGTAATTCATAGTGCTAGTTATCTTTTATAATTGTATTCTTTACACAGCTACAGGACTTTGAAGCTGCAGTCAAAGCGAGAGATGGTATTATTACTCAGCTTACTGCTAATCTACAGCAAGCTAGGAAAGAAAAGGATGAGATTCTTCAAGAATTTTTGGATTTAACAGAGCAAAGTCAAAAACTACAAATTCAGTTTCAACAGGTAAAATTAATTGTAACTAGTCAAGTTAAAATATTGCTAAAGAAACTAATTTGCATACAGTTGTCCAGGCTGTTAATTTAGCACTCTGATACCACTATTACCAGTTGGGTATAAAGTATTAAGTTGCACCTCCACTCCAGAATACAAACGCACAATCTGCTTATAGTGCAGTTCTGTAGTGAGATACTAACTTTTACGTTGAGATGGATGAACTTGCCATGACGTTATTTTAAGAAGAGCAAGGAATTGACATGGTATTCTGATCAATGTTCCTTCCTCAACCAACACCACATTATAGTAGTGGGGTCAGTTGTCCCATTTGCTTCTTGTGGGGCCTTGCCATGTGTAACTTGATTGTCAGGTATGCTTGCAAAGCAATGCTGACTATACTTAAAATCATCAGCAGTGATGTGGGGTGAAGTGATTTGGGGTATTCTGAAGATTTGAACATAGCTATATGAAGACTTGTACTTTTTGGAGGGGTCTAATTTTAATTGCTACAAGCTAGCATTATTGATTTCCTTGGTAATTTATTGAAAATTGGCAATTAAATTAGAAGGTTGACTTTGAGATAAAAATGATGAATTGGGTTTAATTTACCTAATGAAGGATTGTTCACTTTTTGCACTCCCACTGTTGGAATAACCTCTGATTATTATGGCATTAAACAATGGCTGTTCGTGCTCAGTTTTACTTCTTTGTTGAGTCTTAATCATTGACGGTGCCTGAAGTTCATTTTTCCAAGATGCTCTTACAGGCTCATGGTATTGTCATTCGCCTATTCCTAAATGTTGCCTTTCAGGCAGTTTTGTTATTTCCAGATTTGACTATTCTAATTCTGTCCTGGCAAGGCTTGGGCTCATGTGAATCTCTGTCGCCTATACTTTTACTTGCACCAAGTTTGATCCAGCCATCTTAACCCACGTGCTTTCTAACCTGTATTGACACCTCATTTAATTTAATATACATATCTTTATGGTTAAAACCCTTCGGACTTGCCATCTCTTTCCCTGTAGCATCCTCCAGCCCTACCATTCTTAATGATCTGTGTTTTCCTCCAATTGAAGCCTCTTCCATATCCTGAAAAGCTCTTGCCCCATCATGGATAGTCGTGCCTAGGCCCAGGTTCTGGAATTCCCATTATGTTTGGCAAAGTGCCTTGTGACCTTTTCGCTATGAGTAATGCAAGTTATTGCTGCTATTGGTTGGTAATGACTAATCTGTAGTTTCCATTCAAGGCCCCTACCACTGAACGTATTTCACCATTGACTTTCCAACAGGTGGGCACAGCATTAGAAACATAGAAGCCATTTGACCCCTTGAGCCTACCTCGCTATTCATTGTGATCATGCTGATCATTGAGCTAAATACCCTAATCCCACCAGGACATCACCCCTGCCCCATGTCTGTTCAGCTATAAGAGCTATATATACCTCCTTCTTCTAAACACAATGTTTTGGCCTGAACCACTTTCTGTGACACTGAATTCAACAGGCTCACCACTCTCTGGATGAAGAAATTTCTCCTCCTCCCAGTCCT